AACAAAAAGGTACTATAGAATAATTTTCAGAACACACAGGGAAAGTAAATCCATCTATATCAGGGTTAACGAAAATAAAAGGTACTACAAACACCATTCGGTCTTAGAACCCTTATGCATGCAGCTGCATTGGAGCTAAAATATGGTATTCTAACACCTAAATTTTAGATTTCACGTTTTTTAATTTGTTTTTGGTTCATGAAACGTAGATCTAAAATTTGTAAATCAATTAAATTTGGGATGCTTTAGAATTAATTTTTTTTTCTTTTTTACTTATAAATACCACATGTACTCAGCATAGGGATGATAGCGGGTAGGGTAAAACCCGATATCAGCGATATTTAACCTGATAATTAATCCAATTGAACGATCGATAGCTAATCCGTTAGAGTTTGATATTGATGTGGGGTTAGTGACAAATAACCTAATAAGATTTGGTAAGAAAATGCTAAAAACTCGATACCCGTTATATATATCTATATCTCTCTCTGTGTGTGTGTTGAGGAAAACAAACTTATTTTCTTTAGTTTGTATTTAGTTGATATACATATTTGTCTTGTAAACTGTTATTTGTCTTACTTTTTGTATAACTCCTTGTTAAAAAATGTGGAATAGTTAGCTGATCTTCAACTGGTAGGGAGGGAGCGTATCAAAAACATCTCAATGGACATCCAGGACCTGACTATTGAACTTGATCAATTCCACTTGTAGTATCCACATTTTACTAATCAGGTTTCACAATCTGGTACAATCAGCACATGTCGAGATCAGTCTTGACCGTGGTCCTGAAACTCTAGAGTCTGGTAAATTTGTACAAATACAGATGCTGTATCTATTACCTAGAAAAATATAAGCAATCAAATATGCAGTGGTTCTTCATCTATTCCACATATAGAAGAATTCATCCTTTAGATGGTAATAGATACAACAGCTGATGATCAGTATGTTACACCAACAGATATTCAGTTCAGAGGGATACTTCTTAATCATAATATTCTGCAGCCTCCCGGTAGCCTTTTCCCGGCCTCTGGAACTTTTTAGTTTTATTAAAGTTACATAGTATTCTTCTTTATCTATAGTTGGTTTATGAGCCATTTTGCAAATCAAACAATATTTATATATATATATTTCAATGGACTCCAAAGACAAGATTCTTTTCAAATGATTGGCTTTTTCAATGGTGATTTCCCAAAACAAGAAATCGAATCTCCTTCTTTTCATCAATTGTTAATTTGAGATTATCGTATATTAATGTCTTGTCACTAAATGGTCAAGGGAAAAAGTGCAAGTTTCATTGAACACTTAATTTCAAGAGAGACTCCAAATCTTATCGTGGCAAAAGGTAAAGGAATCGGTTTGAGAGTAACAAAAACGTCATTGTCATCTTACTAAAGTTTTCACTAGTGGAATTGGGTCTCGGCATGTCTATCACAGCCTTTGATGTAAGTTGAAAAATAACAAAACCCGATCTACAAAAATTCAATGGCGAACGGGTTTTACCAAAGAGAGTTGGGGCTAATGAGCTAGCTTGAGATTTTGATGAGAAGGGCTTTTTTTTTTTTTTTTTTAGCAAGAGATAGATGGGATTCAAAAAGCAAGAGAGGACAGGATGATTTGAACCCAAAACATCCAAATCCTGAGGTATCAACCAATGAGAAGGGTTGTTCTTGCATTCACAATCCATACGCAGCCAAGGATGCTTCTTTTTTTTTTTTTTTTTTGAAGCAAGGATGCTCCTAACAATGTGAGATATGATCTCATGTCAAAACCCTCAAAAGATTCAAGTGCGTATCAAAATTATGGCATGCTATTATAGAGAGCCTATATTTTTATTTAGAACCAATTTAATCACTCCCTCAAAACGAATTTCAATCGCCGAATTTATTGGCTATTCAATTGTTTAATGATTTTACTTCTTAAGTGTCGCATCTTATCTATTTTTGGTGATGTGTGAGTTTTATCAACGATGATCTTGGGAAATAGGAACGTACGTGACCTACAGCTTTTGCTTTGCTATTGGAGAAATAATTTTTTTTAATTGGGAATAAAATTGGAGGACCTTATAAAATCTCACCGAATGCTGATTATACAATGGGAAAATTGATAATTTGATCCCTTGGGTTTTAGAATTTTTTTTAAATTTTTCACGCTCAAAATAAACTAAAACAATCCCTCAGATATAAAAAAAATTTATGCATTTAGTCTCAGAACTTGTTTTTGCTCAATTTTTTAACTGAAAGAAAAATGCATGCCTATCTCACATGCCTATAATTGCAAGGGTAAAATGGAAATAAAATTCATTTTTCTTAACCAAAAAAAAAACACACACACACACAACACATAACCACTCTCTTTCCCCACTTTCGACCATTAAAACCCTATTTCTAATTCTTAAGCTACCAAGACCCAATTCTCAACAATAAAACTTCAGTAAGTGCACCTTCACAAAAGGTGAAGAAATGGCAAAGGGATCAGATTGAAAAAAAAAAAAAGAAGGTAAAATCAATCAAGAAATTCGAGTAAATCACAGCACACAATAATTTCACAAAAATGACAGACAAGAAGGAAAGTAAGGCTCAAATTCGCCTGACAAGGAAGGAAACAAAATTTTTCCCCCATTTTGTCCTTGAAATTATGGACTCTGAGGCGGGTGCGTGTTTTTTAGCCCCAAAAATGAGCATAAAAGAACTCCGAGAACAAATGGGCAAAATTTTTATATCTGTGGAACTATTATAATCGATTTTGAATGTGAAGGACTAAAAAGCTTTTTCTGAACATGGCAAGGAATAATTTGACAATTTTAAATTTTATTAAACATCAATTACTATTACTATGAAAAGCTTAACGTACAAATATTTTAAACTTACAGTGCCGTTCAAATTTCCCGAAATTTATATCCAATTATTTTGAGGCCCTCTTTACCAAAATCGTACGGAGTATTTGATAATCCAGGGCCTCAAAAGTTGGTGTATCCTTTGACGACTGAAGGTAGATGGGTCACTGCTTCTATAAGTATAAAGAAGAGATCCTGAGGCATACAGGGCATTCAAAATTTAGTTGCAGTACTTGGCTCATCTATTATATGTTAAAGTAGAAGTGGCAAAATTGATATATGATTGATAAATGATTTTAGTTAAATGGATAGTGGATCAAATTGATCCAATCCAATTAAAACCATTTAATAAATGGATCTAAATGGATGTCATTTAAATGGATAGTGTAAACTATGATCCATCCATTTATCCATTTACTCTCCCAAATCCTAAATTTATGATCCAAATATTTTTTTCCAAAAATTACAGATCCCCAAAGTTCTATCCTTAATCACCTAAAAGCTTTTGGTAATAACAAATGCTTGTACTACTACTCTATTTCAGTTCTTCATAAAATTAGTTTAATTCCAAGAAAATTTAACTGTTGTGGTTAATTTAGCCTTTCATCATTACTTTAAGTATCATTTTGTAAAGTAATAAACAATTAAGAACTTTGCTACATTTTTATAACTTTTGGGTGAATTGAATACGGCTTTACAGTGAAAAGAAGTTTACGTTTCTCACTTTTTGCACTCCTATTCAAGAGGGATGCCTTGAATAAAAGTGGAGTTCTAATAAGAAATCTTATGTTATTTGACAAGTAAAATATTTTCATCACATGTGCACGTAGTACCTAAAAATGTATGAAACTCCTTATTATACCATTGATATACAAGGTACCTTATATTACTTAGTAAATTAGGTGTCTTTTTTTTTGGATAGTTGGGTTGGGTGATAAGGGGAGAGGGATTGTAAGTATGAGGATTTGGATTCAAAACTTTTCACTTATTAAAAAAAAAAAGAAGGTGTCATTTACGTATCTTAACCAATGTTGCGGGGACACTCGTTAGAAAGATTCTTTTTATAAATAAAAGAATTAAAAAAATAAAAAATTATTTTGATACTGCATGATGCATTCTCGCTTTTTCTTTACTTAAGAATGTAAATGTTTGCAATCATTGCTACATGAGAGTTTAATTAAAAAAAACAAGAGTAGAGACTAAAATATAATTTTGAAAAGGATGAAAGAAGTCTAGGAACTAGAAGCAAATAAAATGCAATTAATGTTATTGGCAACTTGGCATATGAGGAAGTTATGAAGGAAAGAATAGGTGGTCCCATAAAATTAATTTGACATATGAGGAAGTTATAAAGGAAAAAATAGATGGTCCCACAAGATTCTATCCCACTTTTTTATAAATATTTGCAATCACTATGTGTGTTTTCTGTTTTTTAAGTTAAGTGGATGTATATGGATGATATGAATAATCCATTTAAATTCACCAACATAATTGGATTTAAATGGTTATCCATTTAAAACCATTGAATTTATATGGATCATCCAAATCCATTTAAGGTTGGTTTATATGGATGGATTGGTGGATATGAATCCATTTTGCCACTTCTATGTTAAAGTAATGCTTTCGACAAAGATTTGGTTAAAAGCATATTAGACTAAACCAATGACTGGTCTACCTACCATCTTAAACAAACACTACTTAGGTTGTACTTAATACAACAAAGTTTAGATTTAGGAGACGTAAGCATATGAGCAAAGATGAATATAAGAGTTATAGAAGAGAGAACATTAGCCCAAATCCACTTTCTTACTGAGAATCTCTTCCCCAAGTCTCTTATTGCACAACATCAAAGATTCAAACAGGAAAGAAATATCAAGCCCAAAAGGCCCAACAAGATTGTAAGAACTCACATTTGGTTCAATCATCACCGTGTAGCAAGGATACATTAGCCCACATAGCAAGAATGGGTTGCAAATATCAAATCTCATAATTCAATCCTACGAGTGGCATGTTAGCTCAAGTTAAAAAAAACCTATGTTTGTAATTAAATCCCCAGCAAAGGGAATGAATGCTACTAGTCGAGAGAGAGAGAGAGGAAGCAAAACGGCTATGCGATTACCTCTTTTCTTGTAGTACAGTTGTTCTTTTTGTATTTCCTAGATTACTATCACTGCTGAGCTTTCACTAGGCTTTGTAAAAACATACCCAATTCAAAGAATTGTTCAGCCCCAGTAACTTGCATCACAGGATAAGTAATAGATATGCTTTCAATGTCGTACCATAGCAGCAACTGATTAGCCTGTCCCAAAAGTACTCGTCTACTGCATTTAGAATAAGCTATTGGTTTCACTGCTTGAGGATAGCTAGTAGACAGACGACAGTTAGTAGATAGATCACATATTTTGATTAAAACCAAATTAGTCCAAGATTTCTGGACTCCATACTCTGCCATCACCCAAATATCAAAATGACTTTTATAGTATTCACAAATCAAGGAAAGACATCCTTCCAAAATACCCAAACGCATATCACAATGGCGATCAAAATACTCAGGTTGTTGGAGTAACTTGAATTCCTCTGTTCCAAGATCAAAGGCAGCAATAAGTTTGTCAGAATTGGATTTACTACTCTCTTTTACAACCCAATGCAATGCACCAATTGCAAGCTTGCCATTGACATGCGGATCAAAATAGTAAGGAAAATCTGAAGCCTTTTTCCTAGAATCTTATTTCAAACCATGAACCATAACTTCGGAGTAAACCTGATCATCTTTCCCATAAATCACTGGAATAGCAACCACCTTGTAATCATCGCCCACTGAGTCATCCCCAAACCCATAATTGGTATACCAGGTACCACCGGTGAAAGGACATCGAAATTCAAGGGCACACAGTAAAATCGGGTGCTCTCTGGTCGATGGGTTCCATAAAATAGGGCGATCATCCCACAAAGACAATACACAAAGCAGTCCATTACACGAACCCAGGATATCAGTTTCAAGGTCAATCCTGGACCGTACTGGGAGACTGAGTTCATTGAAAACGGCGCGGTCAGTTTCAAGAAAAAAGTCATAGTCTGCAGAGTAAAAGTATACTTCATCAACTACTAGATCAGAGCTGCCATTGAAATTTCCAAGAATAAGGTTGTGATGGGACGAGTTCTTCAAGTAGTTTTTGATGAATTCTTGGCTACCTATTGTAGCCCGCCAAGACTTGGATAGGCACCTGAATCTTATGAGTGTCTTTATAGGGAGCCTGGAGAAAATTTCTTCGATCAATGCAAGTGGGAGTCTGCTAGCCATTGCTGAAAACTTGATGGATAAAGATAATAATCTTGATTCGGGTCGATGTTTGTAGAAGGAAATTAGGAAGGGAAAATGTTCGATCTTGGAGTTTCAGTGAATATTCATGCATGGTTGCATACAACATGTTTGTTTATATGCTCCAAGAATGCATTTTGTATTTTGGCCCTTGAATTTCGATGTCATTTAGCCGGTGGTACCTGGTATACCAATTATGGGTTTGGGTATGACTCAGTGGGCGATGATTACAAGGTGGTTGCTATTCCAGTGATTTATGGGAAAGATGATCAGGTTTACTCCGAAATTATGGTTCATGGTTTGAAATCAGATTCTTGGAAAAAAGCTCCAGATTTTCCTTACTATTTTGATCCGCATGTCAATGGCAAGCTTGCAAGTGGTGCATTGCATTGGGTTGTAAAAGAGAGTAGTAAATCCAATTCTGACAAACTTATTGCTGCCTTTGATCTTCGAACAGAGGAATTCAAGTTACTCCAACAACCTGAGTATTTTGATCGCCATTGTGATATGCGTTTGGGTATTTTGGAAGGATGCCTTGTCTTGATTTGTTCATTTTGATATCTGGGTGATGGCAAAGTATGAAGTCCAGAAATCTTGGACTAATTTGGTTTCAATCAAAATATGTGATCTATCTACTAACTTTCGTCTGTCTACTAGCTGTCCTCAAGCAGTGAAGCCAATAGCTTATTCTAAATGCCGTAGACGAGTACTTTTAGGACAGACTAATCAGCTGCTGCTATGATATGACATTGAAAGCAAATCTATTACTTATCATGTGATGCAAGTTACTGGGCTGAACAATTTTTTGAATTGGGTATATTTTTACAAAGCCCGGTGAAAGCTCAGCAATGATAGTAATCTGGGAAACACAAAAAGAATAGCTGTACTACATGAAAAGAGGTAATCGCATAGGCATTCTATTTCCTCTCTCTCTCTCTCTCTCTCAACTAGTAGCATTCATTCCCTTTGCTGGGTGTAGACACCAAATTTTTGCCAAAAATTTGTCAAATTTTATGTTTTCTTGAATATTTTCTATTTGATGAGTCATTTAATTTCTTGCATTTTTATATATTTTTTTCTCATTTTTGTAGGTTTATCTTAAGAAAAGAAAATTAGAAAAAAATCAAAAAATCAAAATCAAAAGCAAAAATCAAAATCAAATCATGACTAAATTTATACATTTTCATCATTTTCCCTACCAAATACACTTAACCAATTGTTACACTCAATTTTTTTCATTGATCTTTCTTGTCACTTGGTATGACAAATTCATCATGTTTTTTCATGCACCTTTCTTGTCATTTTGGGAGGCTATCATTTTGACCAACAAAACACTCCACTCTTCCTCCCTCAAAAAAAGACTCATCTCTTGGCTCTCTTTTTTCCTCTTCGAACGAGAACAAAAACCAAACACACAAACTCCACTTTGGCTCAAAAAAAAGACTCTCTCGGCCCTTTCTTTTTTTCCTCTCAACAGACAAGACAGAAAAAAGAACCAAACACTCCAACTCAATACATCTCTCGGCCTTTCCTTTCTTCCCTCGGAACAAACAAGCCAAAAAAAGGCAACGCTCCACTCTCTCTCTCTACTTTGGCCTTTCTGTTGGGAAAATCGGGTAATTTTTCACTCAAAATACAACTAGTAAATTAAATCGATTCAGTAATTCTCAGAAAAGATCGTTAAAATAGTTAGATAGAATTACCATTTCAAGTAAATTTTCAGGAAAGGTTGGAGGGGTCACAAGTGGTCTCACTTAAAACCCAATCTCCTATAACGAAATTTATGTGCACGGTGTATTATCACAATCAGACCCGTGTATACATAAACAGTACATACACACGAATAAGAAAATACACCCAAATGAACTGTATAAAACATTACAAATAAATCCGGCAAATATATTGAATACTATACTACAATTGAAAAGAAACTACCAAATAAATGCATAATAAATAAAAGAGATAAGGAAAGAACGCACCCGAAAATTGATAACGGAGTTCGGCCAATTTTGCCTAATTTCCGGACACCACATAAGCGACCCGCTCTTAATAATTTGGGAGAGGAAAGAATTACAAATAATTCTTTGGTGTTTTTGGTGTGTCTTAATTGAGAAGTGAGAGTGTTTATTTATAACTAACAAACACCTCCCTTCAAAGGTAAACAATCAATGTGGGATTTAGAAAGTTAGGCCAAAAGTCAACAAATCTCTACCTTGGTATAATTTCTAGTCCCACCAAAAAATACAAACCTTCACACACAAATAAAAATAACAAACGGTCCTTGCGGTGCCTCCAAATTTGCGCCCTCAGGCGCCAAGTCAAATATGTAGGATGTTGACCAACTCTAAACAATGTTTAAATTTGGACCTTATAACCACCTTGGTTAGCATATCTGCAAGATTCTTCGTAGTCCGAATCTTCTGGAGAAAAATCTTCTCTTCTTTGAAAATTTTCCGCACGAAATGATAGCGAATATCAATGTACTTTGTTCGTGCGAGTAAGACCTGGTTCTTTGCTAAGTGAATAGCACTCTAACTGTCATAAAACACGTTAATGTGTTTTTTACCAACTCCCAAGTCTTCAAGTAATTCTTGAAGCCAAATTGCCTCCTTCACAGTTTCAGTAATCGCCATATACTCTGCCTCTGCCGTAGACAAAGTCACTGTTGACGGCAAAATAGATTTACAACTAACTGGCGCCTTGGCAAATGTGAACAAGTAGTCAGTTGTCGAACGTCGCTTATCTAAGTCACCTGCATAGTCAGAATCACAATATCCAACTACACATTGACCAAGTGATTCATCCTGTTCAAAAACTAATCCAACATCTACAGTATTTTGGATATTCCGTAGAATCCATTTTACAACTTGCCAATGACTCTTGCCCGGATCATGCATAAACTTGCTTACTACACTAACTGCCTGTGAAATGTCGGGTCTCGTACATACCATTGCATACATCAACCTACCAACTGCATTAGCATACGGAACTTTCGTCATGTATGCCCGCTTTTCATCCGTTTTTGGAGATAATAGGCTTCTAAATTTCAAATGAGGAGCAAACGGAATACTTACAGGTTTTGAATCTCTATTCATATCAAAACGTTGTAGTACCTTATTTAAATATTGCTTCTGTGTTAAACAAAGTTTGCCTCTCGTTCTATCCCTGCTTATCTCCATGCCGAAAATCTTCTTAGTTTCTCTCAAATCCTTCATCTCGAACTCTTTATTCAACTAATCCTTCATTTTGTCAATTTCAACTTGGCTCTTTGACGCTATCAGCATATCATCAATATACAAGAGTAAGTAGATGTAGGACTCATCTCGTAACTTGCGCAAATACACACATTTGTCGTATTTGTTTCTTGTGTACTTCTGATCTATCATAAACTGGTCAAATCGTTTGTACTATTGTCTTGATGATTGCTTCAATTCATACAACGATTTACTCAACTTAAAAACCCAATTCTCTTTCTCAGCAACTTTAAATCCATCTGGTTGAGATATATAGATTTTCTCCTTCAAGTCACCATGAAGGAACGCGGTCTTCACATCAAGTTGAGCTAACTCCAAATACAACTGTGCTACCAAGGCCAATAAAATTCAAATAGAGGAATGTTTAACAACTGGAGAAAATACCTTATTATAATCAACTTTCTCCTTCTGAGCGCAGTTTTTAACCATCAATCTTGCATTGTAGCGAATATCATTCTTGTCAGGACATCCTTCTTTCTTTGCAAATATTCATTTGCATCCAATTGCCTTCTTACTTTTCGGTAATTGTGTCAACTTCCACGTCTTGTTCTTCTGAAGAGATTGCATCTCTTCTTCCATAGCATCTTTCCATCTACCATTTTCTATACTTCGAACTGCTTTAAAAAAGGTGGATGGAGCATCGTCAATAACTGGAAGTGTATAGGCCACAATGTCAGCAAAACAACCAGGTTTTTGAATTTCTCGTCCTTGGCCTATTGACAGCAATTGACTCTTGCTACTGTTGAGGTTCTTGGGTTGAAACCTCTTCCTCATTTGACTCCTCTTCTACCAGGAGAGAGTCACTGATGGTGCTATTTGCTGGGCTCACCATTATTGCTCATCCTCCATTTGTTTCAGCGTACATTCCACCTATTGCGGAGTACCATTGGTCTCATCTTGTGTTACCTTATTCAACATGGCAGATTCATCAAAGGTAACATCCCTGTTGATAATGGTCTTCTTTGATTTTAGACACCACAAATGGTATTCCTTAACTCCAGTATTAAAACCCATAAAGAGAGACTTCTTTGCTCGTGGATCCAACTTTGATTCATTTACATGATAATATGCAATAGAACCAAAAATATGCAAAGAATCATAGTCTATTGCAGGTTTTTCAGACCATACCTCACAGCAAACAACGAACTTTCTCCACTAGTGTCATGTTCATACGCTCTGACACCCCATTCTACTACGGTGTTCTTCTAACTGTGAAGTGCTGAACTATGCCACACTCTTGGCATATCTCTTGGAAGAGATCACTCTTGTATTCTCCACCGTTGTCTCTTAAATGGAACCTTGATCTTTTTTTCAGTTTGATTTTCAACCTGAGCTTTCCATTTAAGAAAAATTCCTAGCACATCATTCTTGTTCTTCATAGTAAACACCCAAACTCTTCTGAAAAAATTATCAACAAAAGTAACAAAATAGTACCTGCCTCCAAGGGATGGAGTCTTGGCAGATCCTCACACATCTGAATGTACATAATCCAAAATACCCTTGGTATTATGGATGCCAGTGCTAAATTTCACTCTTCTTTATTTTTTCAGAACACAATACTCACAAAATTCTAATTTGCAAGTTTTCGTACCTTTCAACAATCCTTATTTGGCAAGATTTTGCAAGAATTTTTCACCAGCATGTCCCAATCACATGTGCCACAATTTTGTTGTCTCCGCATCCTTCTTACTACTGAAAGATGTTGCCGCCCCTGCTGTCCCAACAACTGTACTACCTTGGTAGTAATACAAATTATTCTTCCTTACACCTTTCAACATCACAAGTGCTCTCGAAGTTGTTTTAAAAATTTCATCTCGCATCGTCACAATCAGGCCTTTTGACTCCAAGACCCCCAAAGAAATAAGATTCTTTTTCAAATTCGGCACATACCGAACATCCTTCAAGATTCTGATGGATCCATCATGATTACGTAATTTGATTGAACCTATCCCAACTGTTTTATATGGATTGTCATTTTTCATGTAAACAACTCCACTATCAAGTTCTTTAAATTCAAAGAACCACTCCCGCATGGGAGACATATGGTAGGTACAACCTGAATCCAAAATCCACTCATTTGGATGGGATGTTAAAGGTGATACAGCCAAAGAGAAACCTGATTTCGCATCACTTTTACACTCTGTAACATTTACGTCTTGCGGAGCTTTTCCTTTCTTCTTCAACTTTAGACAGTCTTTCTTCCAATGCCCTTTCTCATGACAGAAAGCACACTCATTTTTGGCAACTCTATTTTTCTATTTGGACCTTCCTCTTATCCTCTTTGATTGGCTTTGTTGACGACCTCTTGCCACTAACTCTTCATTTGCTGTACCTACTTTATTTTTTATTTTATCCTACTTTCTCAATTCATGACTATACAAAAGCAGAACATACAGCATCTAAAGACACATTCTCCTTTACATGAAGTAACGTAATCTCCAAATGTTCAAATTCATTAGGAAAGGATGATAACAACATCAAAACCAAATCTTCATCTTCAAATTTCACATCTAAATTTAACAGGTCTGCTACTAACTGATTAAATATAGTGATGTGTTCATTCATAGTAGTACCTGATTGGTAATCGAATCGGAACAATCTTTTCTTCATAAGGAGTTTATTCTGACCCCTCTTTTTCAGAAATTTCTTCTCCAATGCCCTCCATAACTTCCATGCAGAAATCTCGTTCTTAAAAGCATACTTTTGCTCTCTGGACAAATACGATCGAATAGATTTGCATACCAACCGATTTATGGTACTCCACTCCTTCTTTTCTATGTCATCTGATTTCTTTTCTTTAATGGCAATGTCAAGACCCTGTTGAAAAAAGAAGCCTATGACCTCACCTTGTCACATGTCAAAATGACCAGTACCATCAAATATCTTCACCGCCAGTTTCAAACTTGACATTGGAGTTCTCGACCATGTGGACGAGGAAGCTGATGCCCCAGATATAATTCTTGATGTGAAATTATTTGATGCCATTACAGACTCAAATGATAGTATTCAATATATAACAAATTACAAACAAGCCAAAGGATGAACCTTCGACTCTGATACCACTTGTTGGGGAAACCGGATAATTTTTCACTCAAAATACAACTAATGAATTAAACCGATTCTGTAATTCCCAGAAATGATCGTTAAAACAATCTCCTTAGATAAAATTACCATTCCAAATAAATTTTCAAGAAAGGCTAGAGGGGTCACAAGTGATCCCACTTAAAACCCAGTCTCCTATGACAGAATTTACTTGTAAGGTGTATTATCACAATCAGACCCGTGTATACATAAACAGTACATACACACGAATAAGAAAATACACCCAAGTGAACCGTATAAAACACTATAAATAAACCCGACAAATATATTGAATACTATACTACAATTGAAAAGAAACTACCAAATAAATGCGTAATAAATAAAAGAGATAAGGAAAGAACGCACCCGAAAATTGATAACGGAGTTCGGCCAATTTTTCCTAATCTCCGGACACTGCCTAAGCGACCCGCTCTTAATAATTTGGGAGAGGAAAGAATTACAAATAATTCTTTGGTGTTTTTGGTGTGTCTTAATTGAGAAGTGAGAGTGTTTATTTATAACTAACAAACACCTCCCTTCAAAGCTAAACAACCGATGTGGGATTTAGAAAGTTAGGCCAAAAGTCAACACTTTCCTGGAGCTCCCAACAAAAAACACAGACAGAGGAAAGAAAAGAGGGCTCTCAGTTGAGAGCTTCTTCCGGGCTTCCTGACAAAAGCTACGTACAAAAAAAAAAGGGAAGCTTGGGAGCTCGCTGCTAGCGCCATTACCACCACCACTGCATAATAATCTCCATTGTAAAACCATTGTAAGTCTCTCTTTTTATTATTATTATTTTTAAATTTATTTATTTTGATTATTTTGATTCCAATGAGATAGCTCCTAGAAATTTGGCAAAGATTTAGTTGATTCTTGTTTTAATGCAATCTGGTTCGGTTCGTTTTTCTTTTGCTTTGATGATCAATAATTTTGTGAGTTTTAAGAAATAAATTAGTTGCTACTGTTGTATTTTTTTTTTCGGAATAAGCCATGAACAAAAATTAAGAAAAGAGAAATGGCCTTGTAAATGCCTTGTTTGTATTTGATAAAATGCCACAATAAAAATATGAGTTAAGTTAGTGAATCTTTTGTGCATATTTTCGTCAAAATAGTTGACCACTAGCTAGCACAAAGCCTGCAAACGCTTGGTTATCCAAAATTTTGGAGTTTTTGAGCCTTAAAAGCATTAGAATAATTTTCTTCATTTTTTAGGCTATTTTGACTTATTGCATCATTTTGTTGTTGTTTACTTGTTAAACTAAAATTATAGTTGTAATGTAGAAGTTATAAGGAGGTTTTTGGCATAATTTTTATGATTTTTGGTGAAGGTTTAAGGGTTTTAAAAGAATAAAAAATTAGGCTATTTTTTTGGTATTTTGGCCACCTTCGGGTCATTTTTTGTTAAAACTAACTTCAAAAATGAATTCTACGTGAAAATGGGAGTGAGGGGGAGTATTTTGAGAAAATTTGGTGATCGAAAAATTCACCGACGACCGGCGGCGGTCTGACGGCGGTAGCTCTGCCGGTGGCTGCCATGGCCACCAGCTGAAGCCGGAGTGGAAGGAGAAGAAAAAAGAAGAAGAAGAAGAGAAGGAAAAGAAAAGTAAGAAAAAAAGATTTGGGCTAATGTTTATTTTCTAATGGGTCATTTCTTTAATTTCGATTGGGCTAGGGTCTTCTTTCTTTGGGGCTTTTTCATCTGGGCTTGTATTTATTTTCATGAAAGCAGCCCACATTTTTCTTCCGGGCAGGATGGCTAAGGCCCAAGCAACAATAAAAAGAAAGGCCCGATGGTTTTTTCTTGCACAAGTCAGAAACCGAAATTTGTACTTTAGTCCCTGATCTTTAGAGTAGTTATACTGCAGCCCAGAACATTTTAAATTTCTTTCACTTGGGTCCTTAAATTAATTGCATTTTGGTCCCTAAACTTCATCTTTTATTTAATTTTGACCTCTAAACTTTAAAAAATATATTTTTGACCCTAAAATTTTTTCTATTTTTGCAATTTAGTCCCTAGTGAATTTTGACTCTCTTTATTATGATTGTTTCTTTTCTTAAATAGCTAATTATGTTACTTTTGAATATATTTAACTTGTAATTTTTTAGATGTTCTTAAATTCCTTTATGTATGACATATTAGTGTGAGTTTAGTACTTTTATTATTATTATTTTTCAATTAAATTGGTGTCATGATTCTTTTGTTCATTTTGAGTATAAATAGGGTAATTTGACTCCATTTAGTCACCACTTCAAAAGGGAGGTACTCCTATTATTATTATTATTATTATTATTTCGATGTCAATTACGTGCTCTTATGTGCTCGTACGTGTTCCTATATATTTATATATTTTTATATGCTTTATTTATTTGATTTAAAAGTTCATTCGAATTTTCTTATATTTGTTTAGTTAATTTTTATAATTATTTGAGAAACATTTAAATATCTCAAGAATGTAATAGATAGGATAACTAGATTTGTTTTATTATATTTTCCCGTTTTAGATTGTAATTAGGTCCTCTATTATAATAGATAGTGTAGATAGGATTTATTTATTTATTTTTTATTTTATTTTATTTCCTCATTTTAGATTGTAGTTAGATTTCCCGCTGTAATAGACAGGTTTTCGCGTGTTTGTGTGGCTTATATGTTATGTACTTTATTCGCTTTTTTTAGGATTTTTGCATTTAGATATTATATTTATGTGTTATGTGCTACGTGCTCTTACATGTTTATTTGTTTTAATTTATGCCTTATTTGTCTTACAATGTATTAAGAATGCATGATGTCATCACACTAGTCCAACACTAGTTGTGGCTTCTCCCTCCGTTTATTTGCTAGTCCAACGCTAGTAAGGATTTTTAGAAATGGACTAGTCTAACGCTAGACCCGTAGATCGTTCACGCATTAGATTCATCTTTTGTATGATATCCATTAAATTTTAGAATATTTTCTCATTTGCATGATATTTCCTATTATATTATCCCCTACCCTCTATATGTGTTAATCATATCATTTAGAATTGCATCTCATTTAAGAAATTGTAAAATAAGTTAGTTTATTTGCTTATTCATATTAGGAGAATTATTCATTGAACATGGGTATGGGTGATTATAACTCTTTAGTTTAAATACCCTATAGATCTTTGTATAAGAAAATCATGTCACGAGTTTTTGCCTCCCGTACCCATTATGCTGTATTCCTTTTCTTTTGATCACTTATGCCTATGTATATAATTTCTTTTTTTTTTAAATTTTATCATTCGCATACTCGTGACCCCTTCAAAAAATTATTTTGGCCTTCGCAATTAATGCGATTGATATCAATTAAACCCTTGAATGGACATTTTGCTCCTCTCGACATTTTTATAAATTTAGATTTGCATCCATATAGGAAACATCCAAATGTGATAAATTTAAGAATTAGATTAGAGAATTTTTTGACTAAACCTCGCAACTAGCTTAGACTAGGTTGAAAGGGTGCCTTAGGTTTGAGTTAATCGAACCTTTGCCTTTCCTTTTTTCAACCATGACTTCCGAACTCATCTTCTCTTGCTTTTCAAAGACCTGGAGTTGTCAAAAAGGGTTTTATTTTATTTCATTTTTATCAAAAATATTTTTGGGTGACTTGGTACATCCAAACTCAATACCAAGTGGCGATTCTTCTTTTTTTTAAAAACCCTTTTAGACTAAATTTTGGACCCAAACTGTCGCATTCTTTAAAGTCCCATTCTAGGTCTTTTTTTTCATAAAATCACATCTTTTATTAAACAACTTATTTTTTCATCTTGGAAAATGGGGCGCGACACCAATTATGGGTTTCGATGTCCTTTCGCCGGTGGTACCTGGTATACCAATTATGGGTTTGGGTATGACTCAGTGGGCGATGATTACAAGGTGATTGCTATTCTAGTGATTTATGGGAAAGATGATCAGGTTTACTCCGAAGTTATGGTTCATGGTTTGAGATCAGATTCTTGGAAAAGGGCTCCAGATTTTTCTTACTATTTTGATCCGCATGTCAATGGCAAGCGTGCAAGTGGTGCATTGCAATGGGTTGTAAAAGAGAGTAGTAAATCCAATTCTGACAAACTTATTACTGCCTTTGATCTTGGAGCATAGTAGAGGTGGCAAAATAGACGGGATTTGCTTAGGTTCGAAATGGAATCGAATCATATGGGTTTGGATTTAACCTTACCCATATGTGTTTTGGGATTAATTTGGGCGGGATCACTTTGGGATGGGTTTAGATTGATCCCGTCCAATACCCAAATCTATTTTCTATATTTTTTTCCTTTAATTCTTTTTAATTTTTTATATAACTTTAATATTTTTATTTATTAAATTTCTTTTGATCTTATTGTGAATTTATATTTTCCTAAATTCATTTACACTCTAAAACGATCAATAGTTACTTTTAAAAGACATAACATTTTGGTAAGAATGAACATATCTTCTCCCTGGATTAAATCAAAAATTCGAGTAACAAATAAAGGAAAAGATAGATATACAGTCATATTCCAACCTTACCCATAATGTTGTCTAATACAAGGACTAGAAACAAGATTTTTTAATGCCAAATTCATTCTTACTGACATTCTTAAAATTTTCAAAATTTGATACAAAAGAAATTCACATTAAATGCTGAATAAAGCTAGCACAGAAACAAAGAAACTGATTAAAAATTGATAACAGGGTTGCATATAGAAATCTATATAGATAGTTCAACAATTAGCATAAAATCAATATAAAGGGTGCCAACAATTGTTAGTAAAGCATTGATTCTTGCAGACACCAAAATTTTATCAATTAATTTTATTTTTATTTTTATTCTTATTTTTTTAAAGTTGTTTAAATGAAATCATTTTTACTTAACTGGTTTTCTTTTGTAGGAAAGTGAAGAAAAGAAAAGAAAGAAAATGGAAGTGAAAAAAATCAGATTTTTGCCAAAAAAAAAAATCAAAGATGAATTTTTGGATAAATGAAATTTTTTGAGAAGATATTTGGGCCCAATAGGTACCCAAGTATTTCCCAACATTTTCCATCAAATAATGGGTACAATTGGGATGCATCCCATTTTAAACCCAATATCAAATTACAATACCCATTCCGCCCAAAATTCTTTTGGGCATGGGTAACCTATTGGGATTTGGGACAAATTGCCACCTCTAGAATAGAGGAATTCAAGTTACTCCAACAACCTGAGTATTTTGATCGCCATTGTGATATGCGTTTGGGTATTTTGGAAAGATGCCTTTCCTTGATTTGTTCATTTTGATATCTGGGTGATGGCAGAGTATGAAGTCAGAAATCTTGGACTAATTTGGTTTCAATCAAAATATGTGATCTATCTACTAACTGTCATCTGTCTACTAGCTGTCCTCAAGCAGTGAAGCCAATAGCTTATTCTAAATGCCGTAGACGAGTACTTTTGGGATAGGCTAATCAGCTGCTGCTATGGTACGACATTGAAAGCAAATCTATTACTTATCCTGTGATGCAAGTTACTGGGGCTGAACAATTCTTTGAATTGGGTATATTTTTACAAAGCCCAGTGAAAGCTCAGCAGTGATAGTAATCTGGGAAACACAAAAAGAACAGCTGTACTACATGAAAAGAGGTAATCGCATAGGCGTTCTGTTTCCTCTCTCTCTCTCTCTCTCTCTCTCTCGACTAGTAGCATTCATTCCCTTTGCTGGGTGTAGACACCAAATTTTTGCCAAAAATTTGTCAAATTTTATGTTTTTTTGAATATTTTCTATTTGATGAGTCATTTAATTTCTTGCATTTTTATATATTTTTTTTTTCATTTTTGTAGGTTTATCTTAAGAAAAGAAAATTAGAAAAAAATGATAAAATCAAAATCAAAAGCAAAAATCAAAATCAAATCATGACTAAACTTACACATTTTCATCATTTTCCCTACCAAATACACTTAACCAATTGTTACACTCAATTTTTTTCATTGATCTTTCTTGTCACTTGGTATGACAAATTCATCATGTTTTTCCATGCACCTTTCTTGTCATTTTGGGAGGCTATCATTTTGACCAGCAAAACACTCCACTCTTCCTCCCTCAAAAAAAGACTCATCTCTTGGCTCTCTTTTTTCCTCTTCGAACGAGAACAAAAACCAAACACACAAACTCCACTTTGGCTCAAAAAAAAGACTCTCTCGGCCCTTTCTTTCTTTCCTCTCAACAGACAAGACAGAAAAAAGAACCAAACACTCCAACTCAATACATCTCTCGGCCTTTCCTTTCTTCCCTCGGAACAGACAAGCCAAAAAAAGGCAACGCTCCACTCTCTCTCTACTTTGGCCTTTCTGTTGGGGAAACCGGGTAATTTTTCACTCAAAATACAACTAGTGAATTAAATCGATTCAGTAATTCTCAGAAAAGATCGTTAAAACAGTTAGATTGAATTACCATTCCAAGTAAATTTCCAGGAAAGGCTGGAGGGGTCACAAGTGGTCCCACTTAAAACCCAGTTTCCTATAACGGAATTTACGTGCACGGTGTATTATCACAATCAGACCCGTGTATACATAAACAGTACATACACACGAATAAGAAAATACACCCAAATGAACTGTATAAAACACTACAAATAAATCCGGCAAATATATTGAATACTATACTACAATTGAAAAGAAACTACCAAATAAATGTGTAATAAATAAAAGAGATAAGGAAAAAGAACGCACCCGAAAATTGATAACGGAGTTTGGCCAATTTTGCCTAATCTCCGGACACTGCCTAAGCGACCCGCTCTTAATAATTTGGGAGAGGAAAGAATTACAAATAATTGTTTGGTATTTTTGGTGTGTCTTAATTGAGAAGTGAGAGTGTTTATTTATAACTAACAAACACCTCCCTTCAAAGCTAAACAACCCATGTGGGATTTAGAAAGTTAGGCCAAAAGTCAACAAATCTCAACCTTGGCATAATTTCTAGTCCACCAAAAAATACAAACCTTCACACACAAATAAAAATTTCGAGGCATAACTGTCGTCTGTCTACTAGCTGTCCTTAAGCAGTGAAGCCAATAGCTTATTCTAAATGCCGTAGACGAGTACTTTTGGGACAGGCTAATCAACTGCTGCTATGGTACGACATTGAAAGCAAATCTATTACTTATCCTGTGATGCAAGTTACTGGGCTGAACAATTCTTTGAATTGGGTATATTTTTACAAAGCCTAGTGAAAGCTCAGCAGTGATAGTAATATGGGAAACACAAAAAGAACAGCTGTGCTACAAGAAAGGAGATAATCGCATAGGCGTTTTGTTTCCTCTCTCTCTCTCGACTAGTAGCATTCATTCCCTTTGCTGGGGATTTAATTACAAACATAGGTTTTTTTTTAACTTGAGCTAACATGCCACTCCTAGGATTGAATTATGAGATTTGATATTTGCAACCCATTTCTTGCTATGTGGGCTAATGTATCCTTGCTACACGGTGATGATTGAACCAAATGTGAGTTCTTACAATCTTGTTGGGCCTTTTGGGCTTGATATTTCTTTCCCTGTTTGAATCTTTGATGTTGTGCAATGAGAGACTTGGGGATGAGATTCTCAGTAAGAAAGTGGATTTGGGCTAATGTTCTCTCTTCTATAACTCTTATATTCATCTCTGCTCATATGCTTACGTCTCCTAAATCTGAACTTTGTTGTATTAAGTACAACCTAAGTAGTGTTTGTTTAAGATGGTAGGCAATGTTTTTAAACTCGGACCGGTCAGTGAACCGGAGAGGTGGCCGGTTCGCGGTTCGACCGGTCCGACCGGCCGGTTCAAAGATTCACTTTTTTTTTTTTTTTTTTTTTTTTTTTTAGTGTTAAGTACTAAGCAGGTTTCATTCTACACTTGAACTTTACCAACATAACTTAATTTAAGTTATGATAATAATAAATTTTCTAAAAGTTATACACAAAACATGGAATGATAAATATAATTAAAATATCATAATTCACCACAAATTTTCATAAATTCATTATAAACATAAATAGATACAATCCAAATGTGCACCAATTATCACAAATAAAAACACAAAAAATAAATAAATTAAATATTGAAATTCTTTTACAACCCTTAAAAAAATCATAAAAGAGTTCAAGTTAAGACAAACTATTTGAATAGCAAACTTTTATCAGTGGCATGATAAGCAACCACACCACCTTCACAATTTCATCAACTTAAGCTGAAAAAGTTAAAATTTTATTATAAAAATATAAATCTAATTGCTCAAACTAAAAAAAACTAAAAAATTTTGAAAAACAAATATACAGTTAAACACATAAAAAATTAATTGCTACTAAACATTACTAATTAACATGTTATATTAAATTCAATGATCCTATACCATTAATTATTTTAAATTCAATTATCAATAGCTTCGATTATGTGCCAACTACCATATTTTTGACCAACCCAATGTTATTATTTGTAATTCCTACCCAATTCCTACACGGATGTGCACTACTTTTGCAAAAATTTCATCCTTAATTAATCGAATAAAAATAAAACAAAAATGAGGGAAACATATGAAAATTGAGGGGAAAAAGAAGAAAATGCAAAAAATCAACTAAAGATAATAATATAGAAAAAAACCTTGAAAAGAAAAAAATTAAACTTACTAAAATGTTGGAAAACAAGAAAAGTTGAAATTTTCAACTTGTTTACAATCTGCTAAAGATAATAACCTGATAATAATGGTGAAGACTTGAGAAAATCTTGTTGTGGATATTTGGGTTAAAAATGGTTAAGAAGAAAAAATTGAAAAAAAAAATAAGAGAAGAACTTGATGTTTTAATATATTTTTTAGTCAAGTAGAATTCTCAACAAACTTAAGTACAGTCTAGCGGTAAGATTGTCATATTTAAACTTGGAGACCCAGGTTCGAATCTTTACTACACCATTCTTGAACTGGCCGGTCCGGTCCGGTTCTGAAAACATTGATGGTAGGTAGACCAGTTCATTGGTTTAGTCTAATATGCTTTTAACCAAATCTTTGTAGAAAGCATTACTTTAACATATAATAGATGAGCCAAGTACTGCAACTAAATTTTGAGTGCCCTGTATGCCTCAGGATATCTTCTTTATACTTATAGAAGCAGTAACCCATCTACCTTCAGTCGTCAAAGGATACACCAACTTTTGAGAATCAACTTTTGTCTCCCACCACCTCAATCAGTTAAACAACTTGAAATTAACTCATTTCCTGTTTCTCTATATGCATGTCACCGTCATTATGTATAAAAATTTTATGTTTCGAACTTAACAGAAGTAGTCATTGGCATGTTAGTTCTGTTAATAAGGTTGTCTTTGTATTTTTGCACATATTGTTTCTCTAAAGAGCTCTTTTCTAATAAGGTTAATAAGTTGTATGGGTGGTATGACAAATCTTTGGTGTTACACTACAGTGGTCCTCTATAGAAATCTATAGGTATAAAATTCGCATCATATGATGCTGATTGCGGGAAGATTATAATTAGAATATGTGTAAGTTTATGTTGTTACTTATAGATATGCATGGCTCATATCTATCGTGATATTCTTAACAAAAGTAAAGAGTAGTATTAATTTTTCAAGATGTTTCCCTGAAATTTGATTTTGACGTGTTAGCATTGTCATTTATCTTTAAGCAGTTGATGGAGCTTGCACATATATGGTTCTTATCATGCTAATGGCACAACTTGTCTTGGATTTTTATGAATTGCCTCTGCTATTGTTGATGGTTAAACTTGTTGCTGGACTTGATATTCTTGATTTTGGTTCTTTGATTTGCTGTCCTTTAACTTGTCTTGAATGTTTATGAATTTGCTTATGTTATTCTTGATGGTTTAACTTGTTTCTTTGATTTGATGCCATCTGTTTATCTAGAATGCTTACTTGAATAGGCACTTAGGTGCTGTGTTTTTCTTTTTGATTTCCACCTTTTGCTTGGTCCTTGGGATTTTGCTTTTGTAACTGCTGTTCCTTGCATTTTAGAGGAAGCAGATTCTTGAAGGCACAGAATAAGTAGCTCAAAGTTTTTTTTGCGGTCTTGAATTAATGCAGTTTCTCAAATATAGCATAATGGCTGCATGAGTGCTAAATCTCTATAACACAAACTATTTTCTGCCTTTGAAATATTGAATTAACCAAATCATCTATGATGACAATTTACAAGACTTTTTTTTTCCATGTTCTACATTTCTAAAATTCTAAGATTTCTCTTTTTCTGATATCTTCGACTTTGTTGGGCCATATTGTTTCTGTGCAGGTATGATCCTGTTGTGCGAGAAAGCTTTTAAAGCAGCTGGAAATGTGGTCTTTGAGAAGTGTGCTTATTATAGCAATGAAGGATTCTTTGATATGTAATGATGATTAGAAATCTTACTTGTTCTGCTTTCTGAGAGTCTATGGAGAGATGCGTATTACTGTCTTGATTTTTTTATTAGCTGATCCAGCTTAAAACTAAATGCAGCTGAAGAAATATTTGTTTGAGGCCAAAAAAAAAAAAAAAAAACTCCTTATGTTTGGTTCCTTCAGACTTCTTGCTTTTTTCTATTGCACTGGTTTCCTTTTCCAAGGGAATAAGCTGCTCGTTTGATTAGGCTAGTGTTGCTTGATGATTACTTGTGCTTGCATTTGATTATTCTGCAAAATATCAAAGCCTTGTTTTTCTTTTGCATGGTAGATTTTGTGGATCTTGGAACCTGTAATTGAAGACAAGTTACCAAGTATTTTTTTTGTGTTCATATTTTCATTGTAAAAGTTTATACTGTTTGCTATACAACTCGGTAGAAGCAAACAAAACATTCTAAATTATTTATTCACTTTAGAATAATTTCAGATTCATATTAGATTAATTTTTACTCTCATCTGCATTTTTTTTTTCTTTTTCTATTAGATGATTGGCATAGGTAAACCTGCCATCACACTTTGCGTTGACCAAGGTACCCTTGCTAATTTTTGAACATTTGCAACAAATTCGAAACTTAATAATGAGTCATTTTTCGCTTGCTCCTAAGTCCATTTTTAAAATATTGCACAAATATATTTTCACAAATTATAGCTTTAAGGTAGAACAAACTCAATTTCAACCACCAAAAAGTTACAAAAGCTGCATACTATCTAACCATTGGATTGCTATTTTTAGTAGTTTTTTTTTTTTGTAGAAAAATATACTGTGACGATTCGATATATGTGAGGTAATAAGGTAATTGAAAAATATGTTCACAAAAAATGAAAAAAAATTTCTGCAAAAAATCAGAATCCAAACAAGAATGTTCATTGATGATGCTCATTTTATAGAAATATTATTCACTGTAGTGCACGTGTAGCATAAAAAACATCAATTTGCACCTCATGGGCTTTTGAGACTCTTGAGAGAATTTTTTTGAGGATGCTCAAATTGAAAGGTAAGTGAAAATGATAGAGGGTAGTTTATTAATGATTTATCAAAAGAAAAAAGGAATCAAACTAATTTTTTATGCACTAACAATGTAATGGTTTTTTTATACTAATAATTATGGGTGTATGCCATATGTGCATGATTGAAATTTCAAATTTGAATTCATATTATATGGTATGATCCAAATCTGTTAGCGTAAAAAAAATTTACAGTGGCAATGTATCAAAAACTTACTCACAAAATATTGCAGAAAATTTTTCATTTTTTTAACCTCTCAATTATTTGCCAAACTATTTTTTTGTTACCATTTTCATTAACTTAATATCACATGACCTAGTATTATATTTTCCCGCCAACAACACAGCCTATATTTCAACCTACGGGATAGCATTGTCCATACAGGCATTATATGTGGCATGCATGTCATTTGAATATTTTTATAATAATCATTGCAATATTTTTCTGTATTGTGATGTATAACAGATCAAAATGTAATCCAAAGATAGAAAGGGAATAAAATAATAAAAAAATACATTTATAATGTAAAATAGGGGAAATGGGGCAGGAACGGTTGTCAGTGACAACCGTTCCTGAAGGTTCACGGCCACGATGTGGCCTCAAAAATTTGTGCAGCTCAGATTACAGCATGTAACTCGATTTTCACGCCATGTGTGGGGCCCACAAAAAAGTGTTGTAAAATTACGTCGTGTGCAAAGTAAGTTACATCGTGTGCAATGGAAGTTACGCGCTGTGAAAAATGAATACAACCTGCACAAACGGTTGCAGGTGCAACCGTTTGTGCCCCTTGTCCTAAAATAGGAGGTGCAATGTTAGTAAACAGTAAGGATCCACTTGAGTGGCATAACTTAATCGTAATGGGACATTAATCCAAACAAAAGTGAGGAGTTCTACTTTGGAGTCTAGTAATCCACTTGCACTTTGTAAAAATCTACAACCATCATTGGATACCTTTTTTGCATATCAATCAAGGATGACGCCAAATTCACACTCCTTCAATTTAAATCCACACCCATAACATTAAGACGATCTCATAAGAGTTTGATATAAACTTTTTTCAACTAGTTGATTTGGATCTCGCGCGTGTTAGGATTTTGTTATTTGATTGAGTTTTCAAGGATTTGGTGATAATTGTATCTTAGTAATTTATGAAGTTTCGTATATTCACATTCATTGATAAGGTATATTACATAATATTTGTCACTAGGTCATCAAAAACTAGCAAGAGCTAGTTAGCCTCGACGAAACGATTGTTCTAGCTACCAGAGATAGAATGCATGGAGATGAGGCTTTAACATTGACAAATGGAACATTCAGTCCATGCTATACACATTGTCTAGGCAAAAGACGGTATCTACAATGTGATCATCATGGTTGAGAGTTGATTTATTCTGCCATGCAGTGAAGGTGCCAACGTGGGAGACCAGAATTCAGTGTTGATGACATTGTTAGAATGTAAAAACTTGTTTTCCACGCGACAAGAGATGTTTAAAACATCAATTATAAATTTTAATTAATTAAAATTGTTTGATATCATCACCGAGCTTATTTTTTATTGCAAAAACGTCTACCAGATCGCATAAATGCTTTTTAGTCAACTTGATTAGAAGTGTGCGGATATAGGCTATGTAGGTATGAATTTAGCCCTACCCATCAATTAATTCAGTGACTAAATACCTTGGAACCTGCAAAAGTATTTCCATAGCAACTCCCCCAAATGGTTAAATGAAAAATTGGATTCTGGTCTATTAAAAGTGCAGCATATTCTCCATATTCCTCGCTTGCTCTCTGTAGAAAGTAAAGAGCCAGTAAACTGCGGAGACAAAAATCGTCAAAAATGCCTGACGTCCCACAGGATATCTTGAAGGAAATGCTTTCAAGCAATGACGGAGCCAAGGGGGGCAGAGGGGGGCCATGGCCCCCCCTAAGTTTTGAGAATTTTAATTCATAATATGTAAATATGTGTGTAAAATAAAATTGGCCCCCCCTAAATTTTTTCAATTTTAGTTTATATTATGAGAGTTGATATATATATATATATATATATATATATATATATATATATATATATATATATATATATATGAATTAGTCATCTTTGAATGGAATTTCAATTTTGGCCCCCCCAAAAAAAAAATCCTGGCTTCGTCACTGCTTTCAAGGCTTCCTGTAAAGCCACTCTTGAGGTTTAGGTGGGTATCAAAACAATGGAAGGCCATCATAGATGGTCCAGAATTCATCCAAGTCCACATTGCTCAGTCCCTCAAAACAAAATCCCATCACAGCCTGATCCTCAGACAATCATATATACCTTCACTCTGCAGATACTGACTCACTCAACAAAACCAACTGGGCTTTTTTTTTAAGAACTCAATCATCCATTGAAGACTCCTCATTTCGGAACTGAGATCTTGGGTTCTTGCAATGGTTTGCTTTGTCTGCTGAACAGTGAAGAAGATATTACGTTGTGGAACCCATCAACCAGAAGGTGTCAAAAATTGCCTGTCACTGAAACTGAGTTTCCAAGAGAAGGATTCTGTTGTTGCCAGTATATAATCTATGAATTTGGGCATGAATGTGTGAGTGATGATTATAAGGTGGTTAGGATTATACAATTTTATGGAATTAGTTCTGACACCTTTGATTCTGACGTTAAGGTGTATAGTTTCAGATCGAATTCTTGGAAGAGAATACAAAATTTTCCCTATTATCTGTGTTACAAAAGGGCTTATGGGATGCTGGCCAATGGTGCGTTGTTTTGGGTTGTGAGTAGAAAACCCGAGTCAAGTACTGCTAGGTTGATTGCTGCTTTTGATCTTGCAACAGAGGCGTATAGGTTGGTGCCACGGCCTGTTTATTCTAATAAGAATTTCCATATGAATGTTGGGGTATTGGAAGGATGCCTTTGAGTGCTTTGCAATTATTACTCAGATCATGTTGATATTTGGGTGATGAAGGATTATGGGGTTAAGGAATCTTGGACGAGGTTGATTTCAATTAGGCAAAGTGATGTTTCCACTGGGCATTTTGAGGTAGTGAGGCCAATTACTTAATTTTTTAGACTTAAATCAGACGTATATAGAAGAAATGATGATCCTGCAGCTTAACAAATTCTTACTAATCTCTAAAGTAAATCGGCAGCGAGTACTTACAAAAATAGTGACAGAAGTAAATGCCTAGCAGGGATAGCAGTCAATGTCTCGTTACAATTTCCTATATGGAACGAAGCGCTTCTGGAGAGGACCATGACCTATGATTTTATCTTGTTACCAGAGAAAGGAAGCTGTTCCGGGAAAATCCCAATAAGAAAGACGAGGCCCTATGATCTTATCAAATTAGGCATCATATTGCCAAGAATCGCACTGGGAACGTGACTGTTGCCTGTGCACGTAGTACTGTTTTCTTGTTCAGATTTCCTTCTACATCCTCGGGTTTTTATATAGTTTCTGTTGGTTCTTGACCAAAATAAATCATATAAGTAACAATAATTTCTCTAATAAAATATAACAAAAGAATTAAAAAAAATTTCATACCTCAATATTGCATTAAAAAATGCAAATAATTTGTACCATAAAAAGTTAATTTGGTATGGGTTGAGGTGTGGATTAGATCACTCTCTTTAAGATGATTCGCGCTCCTACGGAATATCATCCGGTGTAGCAGGTCTCAGCACGTCATTTCTAGGATACAACATCCCAACATTTTTCTCACTATAGTCTACTCCAATCTACACTATTGGAGTAAAACAGAAATATCACATAACACTGTTGGAGGGGAAGAAACTCCAATGATAGTGAGAGGAAGAAAATACTATTGGAGAGGAAGAAAATAGTGTCAGGATGGCAAAGTATATATCAAGTTTGATTGATAGATGCTTCTATTTATAGACTAAGAAATTAGAAATATTAAAATACTAACATTAAGAGAAATTAACACCTCATATTTCAGCTACAAATTGAAAAGTCTAGATTCATTGTATAATGGCAAAAAATTCGCTAAATGAATTCATAAACCTAATCATTACATAGGTTACATAATTCAAGACATAATCTCATTTTAAAGACATAAATTACACTTTTCAATGATTTTATTTGTAGCTGAAAATTCATTGAACAATTTGTAATTTATTGTGTTTGAATTCAAAATAAACATGTGATATTTTTTTATTAAAATATACAACAGTTTCTCCCAAGATTTGCAAGAATATTCAGTAAAGGGAACATTAAGGCGAATGATTTTTCAAGATGGGAATTTCTCCCCATACAATTTGTGAAAATAAGAGTCAGATATTAGCTCTTTCCATAATTTGCAAACGCACTGCAACTTGTACAGACTTTTCATGTCCACTCTTGCTAGTATATCAACTAACAAGTCTGTCGGGAGCTCTCTGTTGATCATCTCTTTCTCATCTCTGTTGCCTTCTTTTGCATCTTCTTTCTCATCTCTGTCGTCTTCTTTTGCATCTTCATCAATTCTCAGCCGCTTGGTCATCTTCCTTAACATCAGCATCTCGAGGTCTATCGAACCCGTAGGGTGCTCACTGTCAATCATCTCCTTATCTTCCTTGCCATCTTTTGCTTCTTTGTCAATTCTCAGCCTCTTGATCCCCTCCTTCAAGATCATCATCTGGTGGTGTAATTCTCTGTTGTTGTTGTTTATTTTGGACCTCTTCACCATCTTAATATATTCTGAACTTCGTCAATTTTTTTTTGTTTATTTATTTTTTGGTTTGATGGATTTAGTTTTGACGAATATTTGTAGTAGTATCATACCGAGTAGAAATAGAATAGCTGCTAATCCGAGAAGTTGTGGAGAATTAGGTTTAGTAGGACCGACCCCTTTATTCTAATATTTCCTTATTCCTAGATCTTCTCGAATTTGGACTCTTTTTTTTTTAGTATTTCTTTCGTTAATGTAGGAATTAATCCATTATTTCTAAAGTAGAAGTGCAACTATAACGGAAAACTACTTAATGCTTTGTTTGGATTGTGATTTTTTGAAGGAAAATTTTTACATATTTCGCGATTACATTTTTTAATTACTTTTTTTACTTATACATCAAATTGTTATAGTATATTTTCTGTAAAAATTCTTAAAAATGGCAATCCAAACAAGTTCTAGGTATTCAGGAAGTCAAAATTCTGATCTTCATCCATATCCTTCACGTTAAGTAATTAATAGTTGTATTGAGTAATTTAATTGAAAATCTTTTGAGCTAAAAAAACAAGGAAAGTGCCTGCCAGATAAAAGCTACATCGTTCATCCTTAATACACAAACTAATGAGAGTCTTTATATTAACAGTTAGCTAATAATTAAAAAAAATGGTTAGGTAATAGTTAAATTATTTAATGTACGGGGGAATGTGTGAACAGAAAAGTTTTTAGGTACATAAACGAAAAAAAGGCTAATCTCGTATAAAGGGCTAAATTTAAATCTTGGTATAGTTCTAATTGTACAATTGTCCAGTTCTTTAATTCCTAATGCCATGGAACAACACAAATAATATGGACCGGATGGGAAGAATATTCATAATTTCCGCAATTGATCTTCTCTGTTCCTTTTTACCTGTTGAGATGTTTAAATGAGCCTTCATGCACGATAGAATTCGAGGTCGCAATTAAAAAATTAAGATACGAATATCATAGAGTTAGTCATTCTCTAACAAATAATGATAAAGTAACAATCATTTCATTGTTAGATTTTTTGATATAATTCTGCCATTAATGTAGATTTAATGAAATGATAATGTTTTTATATGTTGATAGGTTGCATTTTTGTCATTAATTCTATTATTATTTTCCTCTTTTATTAAACCAAATATTATATTAATTGATAAATTCTACTTATATTTGGTATTTGGTACTAATTGTAGGAAGATGGAGCAAAAAGAAATAAAAGATGTGATTTTTCAAAAGTTTTCCAATTCAAAATGGAGTCTACGTGGATTATTGGTGGAAGATTAGGAGGAAGTCTATTTGGTTTCAAAAAACTAAAAATTAGGAAAATGATAAGATGGCTGGCCCGTGTGATTAATACTAGGAGTCAGCAATTACGAGGACTGGAAACTTGGTTTTCATTTGACTAGTAGTTGTTTCCTTAAACAATTCCTGAGTTTTCGAAATTAGTGGCGGTAGACTAGTAGTTAATAGGTCACTTAGGTTTTCCTTTCTTTTAGAGGGGAGAACCGTGACTCCTGAGAGAGGACGGCCGCTTGGCCCCTCAATTCGCCTTGCTTTCATGAGTTTTAGAAAAAAATCAATTGCAGCCAGGTTCCATGGAGTCTGGCAGAATTTCTTCTAGGATGAGCTACTAATCTTCTTTTCTAGTCAAGGTGACAACTGACATTTGGTTCGACAATTACTGTGAGATTTAAATTATTTTAACTGTTTCCTTCATTTATTGATATTTATATATTTTCTACTTTTAATTGTTATAACCATTGTGTATGATTGAATAATGCGTAATATTTAATTATTCACGTAGGCTATATTTGCTAATTGGGGGTAGTTGAATCCGTAATTGTTCGATTACCTCCATCCCGGTAGCAACTGACTTAATTGGATTTATGTCAGGAAAACATACGATCTAATTTAAACAAACCCTCGTAGCGTGTTTGTTAGTTAGGATTGGGTTTTTCTAAATCTTAATGCAAACCAGAAATTAAATCCTACGGTCGTACCTAGGGTTGTTTCCAGGTTAGAGAAATAGTTAACGGTCGTACCTTAACTATCGACAAATTAAGGAAAGGCTGGTTGTTTATCGCGTGTATGACAACTATAACCAATCAATTAATAAATGTTAGAATTATTCTTGAATCAATGATCAGTTGTATGAACCATTTCTGAAGTGTACCATTGGCTAGAGTTCTCCCAATTATTTCTTTTAATTAATTATTTTTTACATTTAATTTATTTAGTTATCAATTCATTAGCATCTAATCCTAAAACCCTCCATTAATCTTGACTCGAAAAGAAACAAATTTCTCTCCAGTCCTTGAGGAGACGACCCTACTTGCCACTGTCTACTAGTTAGTGAATTCAGTTAAATAATTAATTCCGATATATTGGATTAAGCAAACTCTTCCGGAATAGGGTGAATCAAGTAACCCAATGCACACCTAGGGTCCCTGCTCCAGTACTAGAATTGATTATTGACTGTTTCAGGTGGTAGCTATGTTTTATTTATTATTATTGCACAGATTCAGCACCTGTTAATTTTTGGCGCCGCTGCCGGGGACTGGTGCCTGATTAATTTGTTTCTTTTTTAGTTCATCTTGTTTTCATTTTTTTTATTTTTTTTAATATATAATTTATGGCTGTTAACATTCCGTATTTTGGTGATAGACTGGATTTTATTTCTAAAAGGGGTTATGAGACTCATGCTTTTTCTAATGATCAATGGGCTATTGCAAATAGTGAAACTTATTTTGCCTCAAATCATTCAACTGACATATGTCCTGCATTTCAAGATGGTCTAAGTGCTCCAATCGATACTTTTGAAAATTTTTCACCTCAATATCAAACGTGATATGACCCTTATTCAAACAGGTATGATCAAGGATGGTGGGATGATTCCAATTTTAATTATGAACAAAGGCCAATAGATTTTCAACAGCTAGAACCTCAAGAACCGTCATCCATGTTAGGTATGTCTCTTGAAAAAATAGTTGAATTAATAGCTACTAACACATCAATTTCAACAAGAAGCACATCAATTTCAACAGGAGACACATCAATTTCAACAGGAGACACAAATGATGATTAAAGAGATAGAAGAAAGAAGGCGTGAATAGGCATCTACAATGAGCAAATTGATTTCTCCAATTTATGAAGAATTGCCCTCACACACCATCAATGATCTTAAAGAAGATGAGAGTACAATTATCCTGACAAATGACATGGAATTGCA